ATAGGCATGTGGAAGACGTAGCATGGCGTCAAGTCTTGATGGTCAAGGGGTTGCTCAGCGAACACTTAAATATTCCGTCACAGACTGTGACTCACAGTGACGGAAAATCTAAGTGTTCGCTTAGAAAAAATGTGTGAGTTCTACTCACACATCTTTCTAAGAGAGTGGATGAACACATGCTGTGTTACACAGCCGATAATCCGCTGCGAATTATAACCTACAGCAAGCACAATCCCGAACTTCAACAGCAATTCGAGTTGCCTGACATGTACGAACGATCTAGAGTCGGACCGACTACCAGCACCAGTAGGTACCGGGTACCAGGTACGACTACCCTTTAGTCCAAAGGATGAATAGTAATCGAGCATAAATAATAAAGCATAGTAATACCTGCCAACCCGCCATTCCCGATTTGCATGTCAACTTTCCTGATATGAGTGACAGTGACTTGGGTCCCGAGACTACTTCTTCGCGTCTTGGCTTCTGGACTTTTCGCCTGGAAAGTCCATTTCGGGGGTTTTAAATCATGTCTGTGGTACACAAAACGTTGCTTCAAACTAAGAGGACGGTTGTATGATCCAACTTGTATCGTTCAGTGTTCACTACTAGATGCCCATGTTACAAATTGTACCTCACAACGTGACACGGGTGGGCCACCTGTATCTACTATCAGCCACCCGGGGTGGCTGTTAATAGATACAGCATGTCACGTTGAAAGTAGTTCCACTAAACTCACCGCCACGACTGGACTCTCGAAAAAAAACCATTTTTCTATATAGCCGTCGTTCGAGCCTCGAGCCTTCGCTCGAGTTCTGGACGTAATTTCCAAGCAGTCACAGCTTGAATATGATCCTCAACGAAGAACTCTGGACTTTGCTTTGTTAGGACAGAATACCAAGACACACTCTAGCGTCTTATAGGGCTATGAGTACGTGTACAACGCGTTTTCTCTTGGACCCATCAACCTTAATCTACTGGCTTTATGCTACGCCATATCGGCTACGGCTCATGGTCTGTCGTGCTTTCACGTCGAAACACTTGCTGAGAATGCTCACGGCCTTGGTGTTGGTATTTATCATGCTTATCGACTTCTTTCCCGGCATCGGCTTCGGCTTTTCTAGAATCGGCAATCTATCGTAGCACGCTACGCGGTATAGCGTACGCCTCATGCTCCGAGGGGTTGAAGAGTTGCTTTGCAGTTGGAAAATTCCTACGACATCTTGCAGTATAGAAACCTTGGCCCTGCTGTCTCCCTCAGAGTAGAAAAGGAAAAATGTACTTCCTACGACGTAGCCGGAAAGGCCTAGCGGTTACGACGTCCACGCCACGAGTTCGATCCTCGCCCTCGGTATAGTATCCCGATAGATGACTTGCATAAAAAAGTCAGAAAGTACATGTTCTTACGACGTCGCCGGAATAGTCTAGTGGTTACGACGTGTGCCTTACACGCAGAAGGTCGCGAGTCCAATCCTCGCTCCTGGTATACTATCCTGATAGATGGCTTGCATCAAAAAAGGAAGTATATATTCATATGTTTTCGCCGGGATAGTCTAGTGGCTATGACGTCTGCTCTACACGCAGGAGCTTGCGAGTTCGATCCTCGATCCTGGTATAGTATCCTGATGGATGGCTTGCATAAAGAAAGGAAGTACATATTCTTGCGATGTCGCCGGGACAGTCTAGTGGTTATGACGTCTGCCTTACACGCAGAAGGACGCGAGTTCAATCCTCGCTCCTGGTATACGATCCTGATAGATGGCTTGCATAAAAAAAGGAAGTACTCATTTTTACGATGGTGCCGGGATAGTCTAGTGGTTATGACGTCTGCCTTACACGCAGAAGGTCGCGAGTTCGATCCTCGCTCCTGGTATAGTATCCTGATAGATGGCTTACATAAAAGAAGGAAGTACTCATTTTTACGACGTCGCCGGGATAGTCTAGTGGTTATGACGTCTGCCTTACACGCAGAAGGTCGCGAGTTCGA